TAAAAATTCCAGGACTGGAAACATTCTTGATTAGGACTTTATTATGGAGTTTGGAAAACAATAGAGATATATCTAATTAGATTAAAAACTTGCCCGATTAGATGTGATCTAATAAGAATCATATGGGCATATAACATTTATAATAGCTTCTCGATCATAAATTATAATGAAAGATACAACTGGGACCCGGGTTTCACCAACTAAGTTGGGGTCTTCAGGTGATAAAGATAACCAATGAATGATAATTCTCTATATAAGTGACAGCAAGTCGCAGCATGTTGACTAGACCTTCGAAAAACATTATCAATAATAATGGTCCCAGATTAAATCTTAAAGGTATCCTTTGGAAATAAATGAAACAACAAGTGACAATCACTTTCCAAAATGAATATACTGTCTATGATCCAACTGATTGGTTTCACAAACAGACTGATTATGAAGTTAGTTTTGCTAGGAAAAAATTGTAGTAAAATGCAATTTAACATAAGCAATTTGATTTTCTCAATGTAGGACTCAATTATTTTGGAAACCCGTCCGTCAAACTATGTATGCGTCTAATCAAAATGCACTTTATAGAAGTGATACTTTTTTGAATATTCAGCTGGAATTCGTAAAATAATCAAAATATCTCATACCGATAGAACATTAAGAATAACATTGATGGTGTCAATGAATATATTAGAATAGCATGGAATGGTCATTCCATACTGAAATCGAAGTAAAACACGGCCAACATCAGTCTCTGATTTCAACTTTCAAAAGAATTTGGGACCGTAACCCTTCTGTTCAGCTTTTAGCAGTTGAAATCAAATCAGTGAAACGATAATTTTTCTAAAATAATAGCTTTCAAGCAAAAATTTTGATTCCTTGAAAACATATGTCACCCATATGTAATTGTTTGCTTTCAGTAGCTTCATTCTTTTATACAAAGTCGTATTAGTTACAACTTGCAAAATCACAGCCAAACACAAGGCTCTTGTGAAAATAATCCTAGCGAGGATCAAAAACACAGAACACGGATCGAAACCCAGCTCATCTCACTTTGACCGTGAGACTCTGAATTGGATATAAAATTACATTTTTCAGAATTGTCGTGAACAATAGTTATAAGCATTAACGAAATATGTGTTTTGAGCTCACTTACACAATGGAATGGAAATAACCCGCATAGTAGAAAAATTACAATAATATATCCAGAAAATTACAATATCGCTAAGATAACTTTTCGTGGGTTATTACCGCGTCTACCGGAAGAATAGATAACAAAAATTGCTTTTTGGCGACATTGACATTATATCAAAGGTTCGACAACTTCAACTTTTTTATGTGTATTCATTACCACTATTATATAACTCGCTAAATATTCTGCGACACCAATACCTACATCTAGATGTTATATCTGATATTATATAATGTCGAAATACAGCGGATTGCCTTATGCAAGACTAGGAGTTACGTGACTTTCACATAGCCACTTAACGATCGTTAATATATGGATGGAAATTGTAAAACCTTAATTTTCATTGAGAGATGCCGTCCCATTCAGTGAAACGGAACGAATAGATTGTTTTTTGTATAATCCAGTGTTCATATAAAAGTAGTTTCGAAAGTAATTTTTCTTTCCTGTAATACAATGTTCCTATGAAAGTAGTTGTTTCGAAAGTATTTTTTTCCAGTTCGTGTCTGTAAGTTACTTCTTTGCATTATCTACACATCTCTGTAAAGAGTTTATTTTGAAATTAATTGCTTTCTTCCTTTCTTTGGAAGATTCCCACCATTGCTTTCTATATAAATAACCATAGAAAAAATATTTGCAGACAGATTTGCTCTTCCAAATTATATATCCCTCCAATTTTACACTACATTAACAAAACAAAATACAAGTGATAATACGGTGTCATCGTCACTTATAAAACAGAAATGTTCTGATGAGTTGACGAAAAGAAGTGAAAATGACATTGTAGGAATTATAAAAAGACACAAGAAATTGTTATGAACTGAACTAAATTAGTTATAAGCTGAAAATGCGTTCGAATATGTACTGGAGTGAACTGGAATATTTGTTTATTACATTGAAATATAGGACACAAACAATTAGGAATACCTTCATTGAAAATGAAAAATCGAGTTCTTTAAGTCATTCAGATTATTTGTGACCGCAATCATCTCAGAGTGATGACAAATATTTTGTGAAATGTACCTACAGGTCTGGAACTCAAGTTGGAAATTCCACGGCAATTTGGCTGTCACTTCAATAAAATAATACAGTTGTACAGACATATTGAAAAAGGCTGCAGTTGCAGGCTCATATAATCCTAAAATTGTAAGAATTTCAATATTTTCTGTCTGAACTGCTAGTCAATATTTGGCAATATTTCTTCTCATTAGTCTTTTCGATACCTTGTTGTAACGCCTATTCAACTTTTTGTTGAAAGTATACGATCTGGGCCTTCTACTCGTATGTTATAAAATCCTGCTGATGCACTTTTTATACAAGTTGTGGGTTTTCCAAATGCCTATTTATAATCTAAGAAAGGTGCAGGCCCAGCCAGATGCTTGGCTTCTCCTGCTATTCAAAATTTTGAACCGCCTTAACTCCGCCCACTAGTACTACTCCCCAAAACTTTGACTTTTCTTATAATACCAACGGTTCAGCCTTTTTTTTGTAAAAGCTTGAAAAAAAATTGTATAGTACTCAGTAAGTACCTAGTTCTTAAGCAACCATCGCAGCGAAAACGTGTTTTCAAATACCTAAACTTAGAGTATATTAATTGCTCGTATTTTCAATTTATTACAAGTCTTATTACTAGAATTTTACGTAACCGTCCTATAGAGTAACTACACCATTTTTATGCACAATTGTGTCAGTTTTGATATCAAACATCATGGAGAAAGCCGTAAAACACTATGTCCTTAAATATTTGGAATGCTTTAACAGCTTGAGCGATCATCAATATGGCTTCCGGAAACAAAGATCAACAGGCGACCTACTATCGTATGTCACCCATATTTGGAATAACGCAATCGAGAAACATGGAGTGTCAAGAGCTGTTGCGCTTGATATTTCTGAGAAATTTGATCGCGTGTGACCTAACAGTTTGCTGGTCAAACCCAGGCATCAGTTTTCTCCAAAATTCCGCTTTCTGCTTCGATAAGTTTGTTGGGGTTTAAAATGGACACCAATATGGTACACACCTCATCAAATTTTGATGCTTTTCAAAGCTCAGATCAGATCTTTTTTGGATAATTGTTCTCATTTATGGAGCTCCGTCCCAAAGCATACCCCGAAGCTGCTGGATTCCATCCAGGAAAGAGTCATCCACCTGATTGAAGACACGAACATCACTTGCCACCTCTATAGTCTGGAACATCGAAGAAATATTGGGGATTTGTCCTTCTTCTATAGATGTGTAGAAGTGTTCACCTCGACCTTCACTGTTTAAGGACTCTTTCATCTGTAGAACGGCGTTTATGTGGAATAAACTTCTTGAGAACGTTTTTCCAAATGTATTCAATCTCCAGCGGTTGAAATCCAATGTGAATCGGTACTTTTGTGCAGGAACTGCTCTCAGAGCTTCTTAAAGATTTTCCTGTAGTGCTTGTGTTTTGTCTTTAAAAAATGATTCGTAATATCACATTTCGCGGTAAACTAATCGCGAGTCTAACAGTGGAGATGGTTTTTCCTATCATTTGATTTTCGGTATCTCCGAAAAGGTTCGCATGCGGCATCGTTAAACTTTTTTGAAACATTTTTTCTTCCTACTGATGCTCTTCTACATTCAGAACATTTTATTTAATTTTGGTGGATCCGATTTTGAAATCTTTATTTGCGTTTGGGGGATTTGTGAGGTTGTTGTCAATTTTTGTAATCATTTTAAGGAATTACTAATTGTAACAGTTTTTCTCCTATCTTGATGTCCTAGTTGAAAGTAATGTCGGAGCAACCATTGCCATTATTGTTGTGCTTTTGAAATACTGACAAACTGTTAAGAAGTTTTTACGGAGAAGAAAGTTAAAATTTCTGAAATTGATGATTCGTTTGAAAGAAATAACCGTTTTGTCAATTTTCAATTTTCTCCACAGATAAGTAAGATTACTGACTTGGTGCCAAGTTAGATAGAGCTACTTTCATTTCAATGTAACGGTATATCCTGATACCTCAAAACAGAAGAGCGATTGGAAGTCTGCATTTTCTTGTTATAAAATTTCGCTGTAAAGTTGGACACTTTTGTTACATTTTTATTATTAAACAGTAATAGTTCAAGACCCCGCAGCAACAAAAACTACATTATCGCAATAAATCCAATATTTTTACAATAACTAGAGTAATGTAAAATTCCAAATATATGCAAACTTCGGGATCAGGGGATCTAGGGGTCAGTTCACTATTAGTAATCGGTATTATCTTCAGAATGTGTCAACAGTGCGGAAGTCAAACGTAAATACCGTAGAACTCAACTAGCACTTCATTTGCAATGAATATACGTTAGAATATTGAAATTTGAAAGTACATTCTCAATGGAAGAAAACAGGGACATATTTTCTGATATCTGTAAAAAAAAGCTTTTAAGTAAGCAAAAATGCATGGTTCTCAACTACGTACTATTTCATTTATTGTCAGGATATTAGGGTTGACATAGGTCTGGTGGCACCGGAATCTTGGACCATAATGAAAATTCGAGACCCAATAGAAGACTCAGGTTTCGTTTGTTGCTATTTAGATATATTGTTCGGATCTCTATCTCCAATCTCGTCTTTTCAATAAAAGTTATAGAAGTTATCTATATCGGAGAAGTCCTATATCCCAAATTCAGAGGGATTTGTGATGAGGAAAATACATTTACCGAATTATATCGCTTGGCACATGAGTGCATAGAAAGCGGCATGAATAATTCGACTTGATTTATGAATACTTTCCAATTCTATGATAGGTTAGGTTAAATTCCAAACCTATAGCTGAATATTTTCTTCACATTCATTACCTCCAATTACTTTTTCAGCAACATACCTCAAGAAATATTCTTGTCAGAAGTCAGACCCAGAATATGAAAAATGCGTCTGGGAAGGATTTGAAAGTGTGCGACAGTACTTCGTCAAGGGAATTCCGGAACTTGACGTCCCTCCTGTAGATCCCTTCAAACTACCATATATGTCTGTCAACAGAACCATCAATGAATTGATGAGCATCAGCGCCGTTTGCAAGGATATAACAGTGTCAGGGTTCAAAAATACCATCATTGACGATTTAAAGTAAGTTCAAAACATGTACGGTATGAAGATGAAGCTCAGTAATTTTTTTCTAACTAGGTAATATATTGACTGCGTTGAATGAAGAAAGTATTTTTTTCGTAATAAGTTCATTCCACTCTAGAAATGATGTTGACCAAAAAATGCAGTTGATTGTCGTTTCAAATATTTGAGAATAGAATAAAGTTGTCCACTTTTCAGTTTTGAAGCTATCACGAATGTTTTGTGCTGAATAATTTTATGCGTCACTTTTCACGAGTACCTGTCGGTTCAGAATCAAAAGTCCTAATAGGGTGTGCAGGTGTACACTAACATGTTCAGAAATTTGGAAATAATTTTCTCCACTATAACATTCATGAATAGTTTATCGATTTTTGAATAGACAGAATTTAAAGTTGCAAACATGAAAAACTGAAACGAAGTATTTGATATCGAGTGAACAAAATTATAAGGATTGATTGACGGTGATTGACAATGTTCCATGATGAATTTTATTAGTTCGGACTTCCATTGTCCGATATTATATAAAATGATTAGAAATTCCTGAAAGAACTACAAAAGAAGAATTGAAAATAAATACTTGGAAATAAAAATTATATTGAGCAAAAAAAACCTGAAATAAAATGATAGTGAAAAAGTGAAAAGATAGTGAATTCCCTCCTAAACCATGTATGATGTCAGCTTGCTACCACTCGATGTTATGTTGATGGGTCCAAACATGCTCTGCTATTCCTGATTTGCTGGTTTCCCAGCAAATCAGGAATCGTTGTGTGTGTTTCTTGTATTCGGCAATGCGAACATTCAATGGCCTTTTAGTTTCACCAATATAGGATTTTCGGCACTCACAGGGTATCCGGTAAATGCGTTTGGTGTTCTGGTTTTCGTGAGGCTGCTACGGATAGTGTTTCCAGATCTGAAGCAGGTTCCGATGTTGTACATGGAATCAGTTCTTCATATTGTTTCCGATAATCCTCTGATTCATTTCTAATTCTTCTTTTTTAGTTCTTTCAGGGATTCCATATCGTTTTATGAAAGGATTCATAAGGATTGATATTACTTAAATCATTAAACTTTCGTTGTAGGTGGTAGGTATATTTGTGATCATTAGGAAAAAATAACTAGCAAATATGATTGATACTAATAAAAATGAGGCATATTGGTGAAATTGGTAGCACTCGTGGATTGTTGTAGTTGTACCATTTGTCTTGCATGGCTTTTAGTAGTTTGGTATGTTATGTCCACTGGAAGGTCCTAGATTATCTGCTGATGCGTAATCACTAATATCCGAGCATTCCAAGGGAGAGTCAATTTGTCTCTAAACCTGATCAATATAATTTTGAATATGAATTTGGGAACAAAAAATTCCTACGGAATTCCTACTGATACTTGTACATTGGTAGTTTTACATTATTTATTTCTAAGCACTTCAAACAAGTTGGTTTTCCATCACACCCAGAGTTTTTTTCCTTGTGAAGGACTCCAAATATTGTAATGATCTTAGTTGACCAACTCATAGGTTATTCATGCTGGGAGTTTTGCTGTGAATGAAGAGTGGGAAACATTTTTAGATTCGGTTCTTCATCGAAAACGTGTTCACCACTCCGTGTGAAACGTGTTCACTCCAAACCTCCGACCAATTCCACAGTTCCATCTTCTTTCGAGGAATATTACTGCCTGAGTACAGTCAGCTAGTGTCAAATTCCACGATTCGCGATCCATAATAAACAAGTCGAGCATACAAAAGCAAACCTTCCCTGCAAATGACAAATGCAGAGAGTATCTAAAAATCTTAACAAAAAAGCAACAATAAGGCATAAATATAAAATAAAGTAACTCTAATAACTGTCATTGCAAACGGTCATGAAAGTCAGTTGCGGATGAGGGTTGCGAAAAGCGATTTTGCGAAAGGGAATTTTGCGAAAGGGGATTTTGCGATAGAGGAGTTGCGAAAAGATTCCTTTGCGATCGAGAGTTAATTGGGACAGTGGCGATTGGACAGTTGCGGAAGAGGGTGTCGCAAAACGGAGTGGCGATCGGATAGTTGCGGAAGAAGGTCGCGAAACGGTCGCGAAAGTCAGTAGCGGAAGAGGGTTGCGAAAAGGGACTTTGCGAAAGAAGATTTTGCGGAAGGGGATTTTGCGATTGAGGAGTTGCAAAAAGAGTCCTTGACGAAAGAGGGTTGCGAAAGTGAATTGCAATAGAGGAGTTGAAAAGTCAATGGCGAAAAGATTCCTTTGCGATCGAGAGTTAACTGGGAGAGTTGCGACAAGGGACTTCAGAAAAGGGATTTTGCGATAGTGGAATTACGGTAAATTGCGGTCAGTGAGTTAATTGTTGTTTCGTTTGGTAACACTTAGAATGGATCAGTATTTCACACGGATACCGTACCAGAGAGAGAGACCAGAACTCAGTATAGTATCGTGAGCCAATTTGGATTTTTACCAACCCCCATGTTGGTTTAGAGAGCGAGGATGTCATTTTAATTTTGTAATAATTGTCTTATTGTTGTTGCGTCTTGGGGACAATATCAGGGCAATACACTACACCCCTTCATATGTGTGAATATCCTAGCATTAGTACACACACGTGTTGTGTGAGTGCACAACACGTTCTAGATAATGATCATTCAGCCAATTATACTAACACCAAAATTCTCCATTTCGAACCAGATTCAAATAAAAGGCTGGAAATGGCTGAAATCAAAATTAAAGAAAACAATATCAACAAAAAGACAGACATCGACAACCTCAGCAGAATTTATTCATTTTTACTAACAAAAAATATAAATCTGAATACATCCTGTAATATTAACACAGTATAAATCACCATAATAAACGAACAAAATAAGTAGGTCATCAATCAAAAAAATAAGATTTAAACATATCTATATGTCTAAAAATTCTACATGAGTACACTATGTTAATATATATGAATTTGTGAACACAATTCACTCTCTTAGATGGTGCTTTATTATTAATTACATTACATTAATAAATGTATTTCTGGAGACCTGTACTTTTACTTTTCAAGATGCAATTTTCGAACGAAGCAGTGTTTGTCATTTATCAAACAGGTGAATGGCCAAAAAACCACTACCAGAAACCACATTTGATATTTAAAAGGTAACTTTCATCATCAACCTTGTGTTTTGAGTGGATAATGTTGATAACTACCCCGCCTAGCAGAATCGAATTTAACTGGAAACATCGTCACGACAATATTTTCAGGGTTTCGAAGTTGGGTTCGAATCCATGACCCTTCGAAATTCATACACACTACCAATTCACCGTTCAATTATTTGTCAGCATACAAAGTTAGTTTACAATGGGAAATTCGGCATTTGAGGATTTAGTGCATACCTTCATGAACTGAACTAAATCTATAATTTTTTTCAAGAACAAAACACAAGCAAATGTGCCAAGTCACTTGAATACTTTCCGTGGAGGTATCTATAGAAGAGAGACAGATTTCTTCGATGTTCCAGACTATCAAGGTTGCAAGTGATGTTCGTGTCTCCAATCAGGCGAATGGCTCTTTTCTGGATGGAATGCAGCAGCTTCAGGGTATGCTTAGGGGCTGAGCTCCATACATGAGAACAATAATGAAGGTCTGATCTAAGCTTCATAAAGCATCAAAAGTTGCTAAGGTGTGTACAGTTTTCTGGTTCGGAACAGTGTTCCAAGCATTGAGAAGCGGCTTTTGCAATTCCAGCGACATGATTGTGCCAAGACATATTGGTGTCCATTTCAACCATCGACAAACTCATCAAAGCAGAAAGTGGAATTGTCTGACCTGACATTATTCTATCCGGCTCGGAGACATTTATCTTTTTGGAGAAAACCGGCATTTTGTGGCATTCTATTGAACGTGGTTATTTTCACCCCAATTCGAAATTACTCATTATAAAGGAAAGTTCATCGACAGTCAGGAAGTCTGACAATAACGACCTATTCACGAAATACAACTAAACATTGACGGGAAGGTACACTAATTGGGGTACGAGTCATCTTGACTGATTAGCGAGCAGCAGAAGCAGAATCTGCCTAAGGAGAAGAAACATTCTCCCAAGCTGGAGGTGAAAAAGCTCTACATGTATAGCTGAGGTGACTGCGGTCATTGAGGTGAAATCTTGCACCTTGAATATCTGACCTTATTCCCCACCAACCAACTGAAATTTCAGTTACCACGAGGTTGTCGTAGAGGATATCCCAGAAAATGGACCATTAGTACGATTCCGACCTGGATGCCTGGGTTAAATGGGAAGGTCTCCTAGCTTGTGGGGGAAGCCAATGGGCGGGGCGCTTCTCTGAAATGCATTGAAGGAGACCAATTTTTCAAGCCATATATTTGTTGCACACATACCTAACGAAGGTAGGTTTTTCAATGTTTGAAAGGGTATCATTCATGAATGATCACCCACCAAATGGAGTAATCGGCTTCGTTGAGGAGCCGAATTCATTTCGTAGAGTTCGAATAGGCGTGAGCCACAATAAACTCTCGTCGGTTGCAATTATGGGTCGAAATGACCCAATCACTTTGGACATACCTACCCAATCTGAATGATCGAACCATCTTGTTTTTTATCTGTAATTTTTGAAATTTTTCTCATTGTTGGGGTCTAATGTGGAATGAAAATTGGAGATCTTTTTTTTGGTATAGAACAGATTGACTAAAATTGAATCTATCAGTTTGGAAAAACTATCCTGCATGAATGGAAGTGAAACTTCCAAAACCACAATGAACATGCCACCAAAAAATAATTTATTCGATTACACTCTTGACTATATCTATTTGCACTTTTAGGGCCGATCCTATCAAACATTCAGGTGAAATCCGTCTTACTATCCCCTGGTTATACTTGGATATGGACTACGATGTTAGAGGACAACTTCTGATCATCCCGCTGGAAAGCAGTGGTCATTTCCAAGGAAACTTCAGTAAGTCATCAAACTATTTCTCATGACTTTCTTATCAATTTTCTGATTGATTCAGCCGTTACTTGATGAAGATCCATAGTATACACCTCACGATTTGGAGATGAAATCGTAGTAGTTTTTGAAAAAATCTCTTATCAATATTGTGAAATAACGGCGAGATTAGTTGATTCAACATTTGAAATGGTGATTTTTATTTTTGGAATAGATGACATCATATAATAATCCTGTTGTTTTCACTGATTAGTGAGTTCAAAGCGTTTTGCGTTTCGGAAAATGTTCTAGAGAATGATTTTTGAAAAAAATATTCGATGTTGAAATATATGAAGAACATATGAGTTATTTATTTCAAAATAGTTGATTTTTCAGTGCATAGATAAGAGTATTTCTTGATATCGTCAAAAATAGGTTTATCAAAATACTATGAAAATAACTGAAATGGAGATGAAATAATCTCTTATCTTAAATGATGTATCACTAGCATGTTGATGTATTCACTTAAGTTATTTGAGGATCTTTCATAATTCGTTAGAAATATGAGTTGTCAATTTCGTTATCTCAAAGCAATTAAATGACTAGATCGTATAACTCATGCAATATCAAACTGCTCCAAAGATTGCAAAAGAATCTGTATAATTTCATTGAGAACGGAAAAGAAATTCTTCAAACAAAGAATTATTTTTCACACTTTTGTATTTCTGAATAATATATAATTCCAAGGAAAAAAGAATGCATTCTTTAATGACCACCAATGAATGACTTATTCCATAGTTACTGTAAAACCTCCATTGGAACCCTCTAACCCACAAAAAGTTTTGTACCACTTACATATCAGTTAAATGAAGAGACCTTAAAAGTCATTTTCGATAAATCAACATGTGCATGGAAGCATTTCATAATTTTTCTAAGTGACATTTCTATGTTGAAGTAGGTTAAACAAAAATGGGAGTTAGCTGTTCTTGTTCTTCTGTCGAAAAATTTAAATAGGGATAGATGAAAATGAAAAATTGAATAACCAGATAGTTTCTATTAACTTTCTTGTCAGACTCAAAGCTTCTTGATTTTATTGGTCAGTAATGATTACCAATATTTCAATAAAGAAATTGATGGATGTGATCGGAAATCATGATGAAGAAAAGAGAAAAAACATAGGAACTTTCAATTCTCTTTTCTTTATTATTTCGTTAAATAGTTCAATGACATCAGCAGCTAAAGGAAAAACATACATATACACTTAGTGAACAATTTTGCACGGCATGGTTCTACAGTTGAATTTTGGAAAATGATATTTCTAGACTCTCTTATAAAACTTGAAACACATCAAAAACTGTTGATGTTTCGTAAAGTTTGAATTAGAACACATATGGATCTTTGACTCCAAATGAAGTTGCTTGCGATTACTTAAGTAAGAGCTATTAGATAGAGTCTCCCTTCTGTAGATACAACGAAAGTGTTCAACTCACTTAGCCCACTTGATTCTTCACGGAGATATGCATATCAGGACCGCTACTCTTGAGTTTCGGGAAGGAGAAAAATCTTGGGAAACTGAAAAAAATTGGTGTGGTTCCAGAATACCCAATTCTTATGGAATCATATGGAAATCATAACCTGAAAAATCAGTGTTTTGGAATGTATAAACTACCTGAAGTTTTTTTGATGATTGTTCATGAAACTTGTTATTGATATGGAGGATTTCAATCAACTAATCTGTTTCAATTAGCTAATGAATGAAAATGCCATGGAGGCATGAATCAATATGCCATGGAGGCATGGCATATTGATAGAGATACCCTTTCACTATTTGAATTGTTTAGAATTCGTGATGGTGAATTTAGGCAGGCGTTCGGAAATACTATTTATTGAATTGGTGAAGATAGTGACTCCATCTATGGAGTCATTTAGATGCGTTTCTGCACCAAGGTTGAGTTGATGGTTATTTGATTTTTTCTTATTTTGGTTTCCTATCTGATTTTGTATGAATCTTTGGCTTGTTATAATGTTAGTTAGTATGTATATTGTTTCTTTTCAGAGTCATTTCCTCAATACTAATGAAAGATTTCTATTTAATTAAACTTTCATTACCTCCTCTCTCTTGCAAGTATTTGAGTGAGTCAAGAGGTTCTTAAAAACACGAGGAATAAATAATAATCGGAGCGAAATCTGAATTATATTGAAGGTTCAATTATTTAAAATTAAAGATATAAAAATATGTATAAATAACAAGTTCATTTCCAACCTAATGCAGATGTGGTATAATCAGATACATTTACTGTATATGTAAAGTAAGCAACGTTATCTATATGTACATAATGAAATCTATTTTGTTTGCATCTCATTCAACGAAATTTTACAAAAAACGAACATTCAAATTTTTATTGGATGAGTTTGGTGTGACATTTCATGAACTACATTGTGATTAATAGTAAGTAGTTTAATGGTTCACTCCACCTTTCTCCTGAATGAGCACGAATATAATTTGATGCATATTCCCCTTTATGTAACTAGGGGTGATATGATATATTTTTACTCCTTTTATTTGAATAATAACAATGGATTCTTCTTCTTTCTTTCTTCTCACTACTCCCTTATCTGAAGAATAGTGTTATTTGAAAGAATAGACGAAAGAGGAAGTAAATAATGAAGGATAAACGGTGCAGAGGTAGGCTGAAATCTACTTTTTCAATTCCTCGAAATTTCAATCGAATATCCCATAAAATCAATTTTTAAGATTTTTTTGTGTGGACTGGTATCCTAATGGAATAAACAAAAATTTATACCTAGCCCTTTGAATATCGGTTAACGTAACACGTGAAAGAATTCATTTATGTTGGGGAATATGAATCAATCTCTCTAGATGTCTTTGTTTTAATTGTTATTCAAATTTACGAAAATTCTTGAATTCAATGCCATGAATTATTACACAATTTTTTCACCAATCTCTTGTTGAGCCCTGAAAATTATAAAGTCAATATGATATTTAAGTTCTATAATGCAATGGGTTGCGAAAGTATTCTTGAGAAATGGTGCGAATTTTTCTGCTAAGCAAGTGACCTAGACATTTATATCCTTTGATTTCATTACGTTATCGCAACAATTAAATACAAATGTTGCAATTTTTCCATTTACTTAACTGCTTTGTTAGGAAGTTTAATGTGTCAAAATTCAGAATTAGATTATAACTCTCCGAAGCTTTTATTGAAAGATTGAATCAAGTTGGTTGGTTTGTCAGAAGATATACCAATGAAATATTTATTCGTTTCAGCTAACACCCAGATGTTCGTCAAGGGAAGTTTGAAAACCTATACCAAAAATGGGGTAGAATATTTCAAAACCAACAAATTGGATACCAAAATAACAATTGGAGATGGCGAGATCAAGTTAACTTCTAAGACTAAAGAAATGCAATACGCAGGTAAGGACTGTTCGAATTCATTTTACATATTACCTTTCACTGTCAAAATCATGACAGAAAAAAAACTCCACAAGAAAAAGTCTAACGGGGTCAAATCGCACGATCTTAGTGGCCAGTTCCCATCACCTCCACGTGAGATGACCATACCCTCAAATCGCTCGTGCAGAATATCCAATGTGGCATGAGCTGTGTGGCACGAAGCGCCATCTTGTTAAAACCACATCCAATTCAAGACAGAAGAATTTGATAATAATTGACCTACAGTGCTCGCCATTGACAGTGATGGTCTGGACACCGTCATTCTCGAATAAATATGAACCGATAACGTGCCAGCCCAAAATCCATACAAACAGTGCCATTTTTGGGATGCATGGATCTCATGTGGATTGGTTTTGTCCCAAATTCGACAATTCTGTTTGCTCACATACCCATTCATCCAGAAATGAGCCTCATGCTGAAGATGATTTTTCGATGAGAATCAGGGTCAGTTGCCTCTCCAGAGTCCATTCAGCGAACACACGTCGTTATCTGTGGTCGTTTACCTTCAGTTCCTGGATCAGTTGAATTTTGTACGGGTGCAGGCTCAAGTCACGATGCAAAATTCATCAAGTTGTGGTCTGCGAAAGGCCAAGTTCTTATGAGCTATGCGAAATCGACTTCCTCGGGTAGATCTTGCGTTTTGTCACCGTACAGTTGTTGGTCGATCTTCAATTTCCACATTTCGAACAGTCCTCTCGGTAGGACGATTATGGCAACCGTAAAATGTGCGAAGCGCGCGACACGTTGCTCAGCGGAACTGATACAATTTGTATAAGATTGAATATAATTAAATATACTTGATGACTTTTTGGAACGTATATTTTGACAAGTGAACAAACTCGAATGTTTTTAAATAACAACTACAACATAATTATATACAGTGGGCTCATCCATCATAAAGGAACAATCTTCATTCTGCAACACCCCCACTTGATGAGGAGCCCAATACAGAAGTAGAAATCCTCATGTGATATCTGCACCACTCGTGTTTTCTTCTGTTGACTGCTTTTGTTAAAGAATCTGCAACCATTTTCTCAGTGGAAACTTTTGTGACAATAATTTTTTTATTTCTGACAGCTTCTCGGACAAAATGGTGCTGAACATCAATATGTTCAGTTCTAGCGTGATGAGAAGCAATTTTTGACAGATCTATTGCACTCTTGTTATTACAATATATGATGATTGGATACTTTGTCTCAGTTAGTTGAATTTCTTCAATAATTTGATCCAACCACTGAGCTTCTTGTGTTGCATGAGAGATCGCAACGTACTCCGCTTCAGTTGCAGGTCTTGCAACGGTTTGTTGTTTTTTACTTAACCAGCTGATCACGCTATTTGCGAATTTGAAAATATATCCACTTGTTGATTTCCTATCATCTCTATTATCTGCATAATCAGCATCGGAATAACCATGTATACTATCTTTACCGCTCGAATAAATGAATTTCATATTTTTCGTACCATTCGTACCTTGAAGATATCTAAAAATTTTCTTGATAGCTGTCCAATGTTCTGGTTCTGGGTTTGAGTTGAATTTGCTCAGAGCCCCCACTGCAAATGCTATATCAGGTCTAGTAGATTGAGCAGCATATAATAAACTTCCAATAGCCATCTGGTATGGCACATTCTTCATCATCTCCTTTTCTTCAATATTTGGAGGACACATGAACAGGCTGAGTTTTTTGCCAACATCCAAAGGGGTTGAAACTGGTTTTCACTCAGTCATGTTAAATTTTTGCAAAATTTGGTTAATATAAGCTTCCTGATCCAAAAATATTTGCCCAGACTGTCTGTTTCTTGTGATATGAATACCCAGACAGTAACTGGCTTCACTAAGGTAGTTTATTTAAAACTTTTTCATAAGTTCTTCTTTAAACCATTTATGTGTGTCATTGTCATTTGAAAATAAGAGGAGGTCATCCACATAAATAACTAGTATTATGATTTTTTCTTTTCAAAATGAAAAGAAAAAATCACAAACACACAAACGTAAAAATCAGCTTGAAGTAAACCAATGTTTTCCATTTCTTTATCCAATTTTTGGTTTCAAAGACGACTGGAGTGTTTTAGGCCGTACAACGCTTTTCGTAGTCCACACACTTTCTTGATTCCGTCGCATTTCTCTTCAAAACCTTCAGGCTGCTCCATGTATATTCCAGCATCTATTAATTCTGGTTGAAGGAATGCCGTTACAGCATCCATGTGATGAATATTCCAGTTATTCAAAGCTGCCAATGTTAACAGAAAATGGAGTGTTGTACCTTTAACAATGGGAGAAAATGTTTCTTCAAAATCCAAACCATAAATTTGGGAATATCCTTTGGCGACAAGACGAGCTTTGTATTTTAATACTTTTTCATCTTTTTTTTCTTGTTTTGAAAATCCATTTACATGTAATTTGTTTTCAGTTTTCGGGAAGAATTACGAGGTCCCAGGTTTCATTTTTTACTAGAGAAGAATATTCTTCTTGCATCGCTCTTATCCATTGCTCAGAATCACAATTATTGAGAGCTTCATGAACATTTTTTGGTTCGTTAACTGCCTCCATTATTATGACATATTGCATGACATAATCATTGAATTTTTCTGGCAGTTTCTGTTCTCGTAAAGAGTACCTGTTTTCTGGTTGCTTGGATACGTTTTCTACGTTTATTGGTTCATTTAGGCAATCATTAGTATCACATACTGGACGTTGCTTGATTTCTCCAATAGTTTCTTGGTTTGCTTGTTCATTTTCAATAAGAATATCTTCAAATTGCGGTTTTTTTATTTCTGTAGGATATGTTTCGGAAATATTGTCATCACAATATGCTTCTTCAAACACTTTTCCCGAAGAATAGAGACTAGTTGAAGCCATTTTTTGTTCGTCAAAAATAACATCACGCGCCTTACGTACATTCTGTGCTTTCATATTTATCAGCCAGTATGCCTTGGAATCTTCGCAATAACCTTCAATAACGTATTTTGTGTTTTAGAGTCAAATTTTGTTCTCTTCACTTTGGGTATGTGAGCATACGCGATACAGCCGAAAATTCGTAGATTTTCCAGATTTGGTTTTCGTCCGCTCCACGCTTCTTCTGGAGTTTTGTCATGAACTGCAATAGTAGGACTTCTGTTTTTCAGATAACAAGCCGTATTAATTGCTTCTACCCAATATTCTTTAGATAAATTTGCATCTTGCAACATTGAACGGGCCTTTTCAACTAGAGCATGTATGTGGCATGTATTCAACTGTTGTTTGATGTTGAATACCTTTTTGGCGTAAATATTCTTGAAAATTTCGGTTCACATACTCAGCTTCATTATCAGTTCTAACAGCGGCGATTTTAATACCCGTACTTGTTTCAACCTTTGCTGAAAATTCTTCAAATTTGTTTAACACCTCATTTTTTTTAGTTAGGAAATAAACGACTGTTTTTAGGGTAAAATCATATGTAATTGTGAGAAAGTATAATTTTTTCCCAATTGATTTTTCTGACATCGGTCCGCAAATATCCGAATGGATGAGTTCCAATTTTCTACTGGCTCTTATAGCCTTACCTTTCGGAAATGGTTTTCTAGTTTGTTTTCCTTGAATACAACTGTCATACAATTTTTCACTGTGACATTTATCAAAACAGAGATCTTCGGCAAATCCATCTTGTAGTAACTTCATACCACCAGCACTCAAATGTCCTAGTCTTCGGTGCCAAATATCATAAGACAAACATTTGTGTGATTGTGTATAACATATTATTTCTTCACGTTGGTGTATGCAATCCAATTTATAAAGCCCACTTTCAGTTAAATTTGCAACTGCTATAACTTTTCCTGTAGAAATGTTTGATATTTGACATACATCATTTTCAAAGGTAGTTTTTAACTGTCGGCATGAAATTAAATTGAATTCAAGTCCAGGTGCATATCTTATGTCACGGATTGGAGTTTGGACTTCATATCCATTGACATTCAAAAGAACAGTAGTTTCACCAATTTCTTCTATATCAAAGTTCTCTCCAGATGTACTAACTATTGTATCTTGATTTCCAACTGCTTTAAGGTTTTTGAGCCAATCTTTTCTGCCAGTAACGTAAACAGATGCTTCTGAATCAATATACCAGTCATTTCGGATGAGATTTCCAATACCAAGGACTGAAAAATGCATAATCAAACCGGATTCATTAATGTGAAGCAACATTGGTCTTTTCACTTCTTTTCGAGTATCTACAGTTTTTTGACAGATGACTTACTTTATGACAGATAACTGGTCCTTTCTTCATTAGGAAGGCGGGTTCTTTCTTGCTGTTTTCAAATTTGACTGCTTCTGCAGAAAGATATTCTTTTACCAAGTCTGTTGTAAGTTGAGCACCACAATTTTCCAAAGCCATGATCAACGGTTTGTAATAATCCGGAAGACTTACAGAGATGAGTGCAGCTAAGACACCATCATTTATTTCGTGGTCGATTGCTTTAAGTTGTTGAGCTAACTTTACTTTTTTAGAAAGGTAATCATCCATGCCTCTACAGTCATTGTACTTTATCATTACGAATTGTTCGATTAAAGCAGTAACTTTTGAAAATCCTAGGGGGTGGATGGATTCAATTCAACTGGATTGTGATTTTTATTTCAGTGGTATTTTTTGAGATAAAAATAGTAACCTCTTTTAGCCTGAAACAGACAGCTAGTTGGCGGAAAAACCAATTCTCAAACACCAATCATTTTATTTTTCAGCTGATCTGATTACCGAGTTCTTCAACGAAAATCCAAGACGAGTTTTGGACGCCGTCAATCCCATTTTCATTGAATGGACCAAGGACTTCTTCATAGAGATGTCTGATGAAATCCTAGCTACTCTACCAGCATCTGAATGGTTACCTGCTTGAAAACTAGTCAGCTTTGTTTGAAAACTGTAAAAAGATATGTTCTTGTTCAGCAAATTCTCAAAAATTCACTTTTCACACACAATTGTCACTCTTCTTATATTCTTAAGCCTTTTCAGAAATAATTTGTTGGGTCAAATCAGAATTTAGATCTGAAATTAGTTGGTGACTTTTGAAAAGTTTATGGTGAAAAGGTACTTCAAAAATTCTATCTGAACTAACATACTGTTCTTTATTGATTTTGTTATTATTATAGTTTTCAAACATCTTAGTTATAAATGAGAATTTGAGTTAAATGTTTGTAGTTTTCAAAAAAAAGTGAATTCACTTTCTCTCAAAAACAGGTTGTGAACATTCAAATCGATATAAATTTTTTTCAAATTTTCATATCACAATAATCAATATACTGGAGTTGAAATGCATTTCTATATTGAATCTATAATTAGTTTTCCATTATTTTTCAAAAAAACATGTTTTTTTTACCATTGTCTTTTATTATTCACCGTTCAGATAACTACCATTTCAATGATAAAAACACAGATTTCTCAATATTTTGTAGCAAAAAAACAATATTCTATGATTGAATCCAATATATATCAAGAGTTCCCTTGGAGACATTTGTGAGAATTTGAATTTGATAGAAGTAGAAAGGAGAAGAAATTTCATTGACTTCAAATTACAATTTTTGTTACATTTGAAAATATGTACCATCTATTCTCTCATTATTATCTCTCTCTATCTCTCATTATTTTTTTTTGAAGAATGAATACTTCACTTGCATGTGGGGAAGCAACCCATATCAGTATTCCACAGTTTATGTGGCATTGTGCCATACCTACATGTGCAATTCTCAACACATCATTCAAAAGTAAACTCCTTAGTCCTCTCAATGCGTAGCGAGACTTGAAATAACGACTTGACTTAACGATGTCGTATATCCATTCCAATTTAATTTGTTGTCAAGGTGGAATTCTAGGAAACACACCTCTTTGTCACCTTCAGACATTTGGGATGTATTTGCGATAGTTACTTTCTGACTTGTAATTGCGTTTAAGCACAGAACATTAACGCGGAAGTATGTTTCGCTTTTTGTCAGTGTTTCACATGAAAACTGATCTAACTCCTCCACTTGTTTGTTACTTATGACAAAAGTTACATCGTCGGCATATAAAAACATCTGCTGTAGCGATATAAATAGGAAAATCATTTATAAATATAAGGGGACCAAGTATGGATCCCTGAGGTACTCCATGCTTGACAATTTTGCTATCAGATTTCCCAGTATTATATATGATATGTATTGCAGACTGTCTGTGAAAAAAGAATTTATTAGGTCATAGGCTAAATTTCTAATAGGTACCATATTTTTCAAGTTTTCTCAATAACATGTCATGTGAAACACTGTCGAATTCTTAAGATAGATCGAAAAAAAGTAAGCGAGTGCAGATACCCAAATCTTTATAATGGACAATAGTGTGAACAATTTCCGTCATTGCTTGGGAAGTAGATCTCATCGATCTGAAACCATATTGAGCATCATTCAAGTATCTACCCCCTTCAAGAAAATCAAGAAGTCAGTTTTTGACTAAAATTTTAATGATCTTTGATATAATGGAAGTTATGGTAATGAATCTATAGTTATTGCAATCATTGGGTTCACCATTTTTAAGGATTAGTGTTGCTCGGTATAATTTCAGGTTCGCTGGAAACTTTCCACATGAGAAGCAAATATTTGCTAGGTGTCCTATAGGCTCACTAAGAACATCACATCACATGCCCACTTCACTTCAACGGAACTGATGTTGTAGGCATCTAAACTATTTGAATTTTTCAACGAAGCAAATACAGTTTGCCTTCAGTTACATCTGATGGATTCAAGAAAAACGAGTCTTTTAGCTCATCAATTACACAAGTTGAAAAGGCATTCAAAGTATCACCAGAAATATCTGAATTTTCATGGACAACTTGTGGAATACTAGTTTTGGTTTCTTTAATTTTCCTCCTTTATCTGTTTTTCATGTTTATATATACTTCTATGTATTTCACTGCCGGTCATTAACTAATTGTCCTGATTATTTACATTATTCGATCTTGACGGTAAGGTGAGTTATTGAAAAGACACGCTCCACTCAATCTGGAAACAAATAATTTTCCAAAAGTTTACCCAGATCAAGAGGGAAACTCAAAATTTCATTCAAGATACCGAACAATAGTATGCACCATATGGGAAACTTATTTATTAAGAGTTTTTCGACAAAAAGGTATTCTTGATAAAATTTTGTGCATTCCCTAAAACTGAACATGCACCAACAAAATACAGGACAACACACGTGATATAAGAGGAGCCTTCAAATATTTGATTTTGTGACAAGAGTAAAGTACTCTTATTTTGAAAAATTTCGGGAAATGATATTTGAATAAGTTGTTCAGCATTGAATAATACATCTAGATTCATATACAGAATATTAAGGAGCCACCCTGCATTTCGTATTTATGACTGATAGGTTGACGCCTACGAATATCATAGATGAAGCGGAGACAATATGTTATCAAAATGGCGGAAAGTGACAGTGATCAGGAAAATGATGAAGATAATAACACTCAGTCTAAATTTAAATGTTGCGCGAAAAAAGTGTGCAAAGTTGCTGTTTGTGAAAATTGTGTCAACATCTACCATCCGAGTTGCTGTAGTCCCGGAGATGGTCATAGAAAAAAGTGCGGGAACAATACAGCCCAACAGAAAATAGTGGATGAAAATGAAAAGTTTTAGTTGGAAACTTGACTTCTGAAATTATTAACAGAAGAAATGAGCGACAAAAACAATATTCTTAAAGAAAATAATCCGTCTTCTATTGGAACGGATACAAAATCTAGAAGAAAAAAGTGCACAAAAAAAGGATAACAGAAATGTACACAAACCTAACCAAGCTGAGAATCATCAAACTTACAGTTCCATCATCGGAAATCTGGCATACTCGGATCCAAATGCCAAAACCGAAATGACAGCCGGTAGTTCAAATGTCTGCACCGACAAGTAAGGGAAAACACAGCTGACAGCGAAAACAAACATGTCCGAATTGCTACCAAAACAAACCAAAACACGAAACGAAAGTGAAGAAATGAACAGAAACACACTCAAGAAAAATCTAGGGACAGCTGAAGTTTCAGATGTAGAACGTGAACATGGTTTCTCTGGAGGCGAACAGTTTCTCTGGAGTATGTATATAGAGTAAAAAGAGCAGCAAACGAAGACCATATCAGAGAATATATAATATCAAAAAAACTGGGTTCAAAAACGATGCAATAATAGTCAAAGAGCTTCCGTGCGAACAGAAATAACTCTAAAGATTTGTTGTCGCAGCATCTCTGGAAAAAAAGAGGACATATACAGACCTGACTTCTGGCCAAAGTATGTAGGAGTCAAAAGATTCAACTTTGAGCGGCATCGCGAATTCCTTAATGAACAAGGTGGGAATTTTTTATAGGAAACCGAGCCACAGGGAGAACAAAAAAGTTACGGAAACAAACAAAGTGACGGGAAAAATCAGCATATTCCATCAAAATGTACAGTGCATATCAAACTGTCTCAACAATCTTAGTGTTGTTATATCAGAAACAAGAGCTACCTTCGTAGCAATCACTGAGCACTGGCAGTCGACAAATAGCATGGATGTCTATCAACTGGAAAACTACAATCTGGTATCTTCCTATTGTAGAACAACCAACAAAGCTCACGGTGGGGTGGCACTATATGCCCTTCGTCCCTACAAACCGGAGATTAGGACTGATCTAAACATGTTAAGTGAAGAATATCTGTTTGAATTTACGGCAGCAGAATTCAAAATTAATAATATACAGTATGTTGTCTGTTTCATATACAAACCTCCAAGTGCAAATTTCTCCCATTCCATCGAAAAATGGATGTGTTACTAGAAAAGGCTATTGCAGAAGACAAACTTGTGCTGGTCGCTGGTGACTTCATTATTGATATTATGGATTCTGTTGAAAACCCAAAGCATAGAGAAGTTATGAATAATCTACTGTGTTCCTATAACATGCAAATATCTATCCAAGCACCAACTAGGGTTTCTGATACTTTCTCTGCGTGTCTAGATAACATTTAAATATCCAGTTATGCAACTTATGAATCGAAGGTGTTGAAAACAAATATATCTGATCATTATGCACAGTATGTGTGCATAGAAGAGATAGTTTTGAACCCTAAATATAAACTGAAAAGAAACTACAGCAAAAAAAACTTTGAGATTTTTTACAAATTACTTACAAAAGAAACCTGGCTAAAGGTATATGAGGAAGTATCAGTAGACAACATGTATAATAATTTTATAACGTTACTCTCCATACATTTTAACAAGGCATTTCCTGTGAAACAAACGAAAATAAGCACTCATATAAAACGACAATGGATAACTAAAACTAATCTTAGAAGCAAAAAACACATTAAACTTTCTCTCAGAACTATATCAACACAATAGAATTGAGAAAAAAGTACTTTCTGAATTCAAACTATTTTAATCAAACTTGCTTTTGACCGAAAAGAAAAAATACTATGGAGAAAAAATTGCATTTTCTGACAACAAGTCAAGGACGATTTGGAGTATTGTCAACACTGAGAAAGGCAGGCAAGTCACTTCGGAAAATTCTTTCAAAGGAATAAAAACCGAAGATAGACTGATAGTCTCCCCACAAGAGGCTAGTAATCTGATGAATGACTTTTTCGTCACGGCAGCCGCAAAAAATGTTGGTAATACTCCAAGTAGTCTGGACTTGGCAAATGTGCCAGAAATTTTAAACTCAATTTAGTTATCAGAAGTTACAGAAATCGAAGTATTAGACATTATAAATGGCCTTAAAAATAAATATTCATCAGGGGATGATAACATTAGTAATGTACTACTGAAAAAAATCAGTGTGTACATTGTAAAACCCATAACATACATATTGAATGAATCCTTGAAATGCGGAACATATCCAACTAGACTGAAAACGGCAGTTGTTATTCCTGTATTTAATTGTAGTAATTAGTAATTGATAATTATAGACCTATCAGTCTGCTGTCTAGTTTCTCCAAACTATCAAAGGCTTTTGATTGTGTGTGTCATGCCATTCTGCTACAAAAATTGAAGAAAATGGGTATACGTGGCCCTGCACAGGATTAGTTCAGATCCTACCTCACAGGTCGTACCCAGAGGGTATGCATAAAGGACAATTCGTTAGATCACCCCTCAGAAACTGCTTTAATATCAAGGGGGGTGCCACAGGGCAGTATATTAGGTCCAATCCTTTTCATTTTATATGTTAACGATCTACCATATGTAGTCCATGATGAATCCGTTATATCAACAAATTATGCCGATGACACAAACGTTCTAATTGCTGAAAAAAACTATCAAGAATTGAG